TGTGTGTGTGTGTGTGTGTGTGTGTGTGTGTGTGTGTGTGTGTGTGTGTGTGTGTGTGTGTGTGTGTGTGTGTGTGTGTGTGAAGCAGGTGGACACAGAAGGAGTGTGATGTAGCGACTTGTTTGAAACTGCATCCCTTTTGGGAAATCGCACAGATGTCCACTCACACGTGTTCAGTTCAAATACACGACATTGTGCAGCCCTACCTGCAAACAGTTGTGCGTGCAGCTGGTTTCATGAATGGCATTCTCTTTTTTTGAATTGCTAGATGGAACAGTTTTTAAATGAGATTGCTTGGACTAGCTTAACGGCTTAGTGCAGATGAAGTTGCACGATGGCCCCGCACGACTCTTTAAATCTTGCAGTTTTTATTAAATGTGTGTTTTTTCCCCCTCTCAGAATATCATATTGCACAGCGGACAAGATACATGACAAAGTGTTTGCCTACATCGTCCAGAGCCAACACAACGAAACGTTGCAGTGTCATGCCTTCCTCTGCACAAAGAGAAAAATGGTACGTAAATGATTTTCTGCGTCTACATGTACCTGAAACACCACTTGTGTGCACAGTAGGCTGTTACCAGATCTCCCCCCTTTCTAAATAAAGGAACACTTGAACATTTGCTTTCTTTCCAAGACTAAGATTCATATCACCTTCGTGTATTTTAGATATGAAGCAACAGCCAGGTATCAGGTTAGCTTAGCATACAGTCTGGGATCAAGGGGAAATGGGTATCCTGGCTCTTTACCAACTGAAGCCAATACAATCCTCCTATCAGCACTTTTATACCTCCCTAGTTAATTATTCATGATGCAAGACCAAGAACACAACTTGTATTAACATTGTGTATTTGTGCAGAATAAACAAAAAAGTAACCTGTCAATAAGTATGATTTATTAGTTCTGGTAGCTAGTTTTTCCCACCGTTCTGAAAAGCTGTAACCTTATGTTCCTTTTTGTATTAACTATTCACCTCCTGGCTGTGGCTTCATATTGAGCAAACCAAAGTGCCATATATATTTTTAACGAATTCCCAAGAAATCAAATTGCCCACCACCTTGAACTATCCATTTAATGCCATGGGTTACATATAAATGAATGTAAAGTGAGAACAGCTTCAGGCTGTAGCTGCAGATTGTGTACGGTGCAGGATTCTGCATTCAGGTATTTCACACAGCTATTGCTCCTGGCAGTGTGTGGAAAGCACTCTATGCAGATACAGTGTGTTGCAGAGAGACCTCAGTACATCTGCCACTTTGAACCACTTTACTTATATGTATGCAAATGTCCAAGTATTAGGAGAAAGGCGCGGAGGGAGAACTTAAAGGGGCGGGGGGGCTGTCATCCCCCTGTGGCATTCTCTCCATCCCTGGAGGTTTGCAGAACGAGGGAGCCACTCCCTCCTTTTCCTTCCCCTCACTAATTTAGTTCTGGCAGAAAGGCCACGTATCCTCCCTGTTACATAAACAACCCGTCATGGAGCCTACGGGTTTCTTTTCCTCCTTTTCAAGTATCTGTGAAGGAACTTCTTCTGTTGGCGGTCACTTCCTGTTTTTAGCACAGTTGTCACAGCTTCCTGTAGTGTTACTGTATGTGGAAGCTTTGAATACTCATCTTCCCTTTTTGACTTCACCTTTCCCCCCCCCCCCCCCCACACAGGCCCAGGCGGTGACCCTAACGGTGGCTCAGGCTTTCAGAGTGGCGTTTGAATTCTGGCAGGCTGCCAAGGAAGGTACGCATGGTCGCCCCAGACAACCAGAGAAGTGTGACGGAGGAGTGAAAATGTTCCTTCCCCTCTCCCCCCCCGCCGTTGTCAGTCTCTCCATTTACTGTACACACTGTGTGTCTTCCGTCTTAGTAACCAAACAAAGATCCTGTCTTTTTTTTATCCCGATGTTTTCTAAACAACGTGGAGATAAAAATGGCTCTCAGCCTTGACACCTCCAAGAGACCCGTGTGATATACTGCAGAACTATTCACTGACTTCTCACCTCAAACCCTCACATACAGTAGAGGAATGTCCCCGGTGATTAAAGACGTCGCCCTAACAGTGCTTCAATCATTATCCTGAGAACAGAGAGACATGCTTTAGTTTAGTGAAGCCTCTTTATTACAGGCAGCTCAGTCATGGTTAAAGAGTCATCTGGATATCGACACCGGGGGGGTGGAGAGGAGTTAAGGTGAGCCCGGGGCAGAGGTGGGCTGACAGGAGGTAAATCTTCCTTTTTACAGTGAGAGCAGGACTCACCCGTGTGGGAGGCTGGGATTTCCCTCAGATGGGTTTCATCTGAAGTGCAAACATGTTCCTTTTCTCCTCCATTACATATTTATATTTTCACGTCAGACTTGTGAGGCATGCAACCTCTTTTAATGGCATTCATTTTAATAGTAGACTACACTGAGGAAAAAAGCAGACAGTGCATGTTCAGGCACCTCCGTGGACACAGCAGGCAATCAAAGTGCACTGTAAGCCTGGTGTCACACACATTCCTCTGTACAGCTCAGCAGAACACGCATGTGATTTACTGCATGTATGACTCCAGTGTAAATGAGCAGCTCACATAATACAGGTTTCTGCACCCCCCCATCCCTCCAATCTTCTCCACGAGTGTCGAAGGCGCCCTTTTGAATTTGTTCGTGATTTATTCCTTTGTTGCCGTCTTGTCTTGTTTTGCACCTGGCACCTTGACCCCGCCCCCTTTGTGGAGTTATTCCTCTTTCCCCTTCTCCTCCTCCTCCCCCCCCCATCACAGCGCTCGCTTCTGCTTCTTATAAGGAGGCTAGGAGAGAAGGAGGGGGGGGGGATGGTTGATGAGGAGAGAGGGCAAAAGGCGGGGCAGCGGGGGCTTCTGGGACGGGGGGTGTGTAAGAGAGAAAGGAAAATGATTGTGTGCGTGTGTCAGCGGGAGCTCAACCCCCTGGCAGATTCAGTGTCAGTGCCATTGATCCTGTCGCAGCGCGAAGGCGAGTTTATTTATGCCGTTCTTTAGAGACACACACTGGCACTGCATACATCCTTTTCTATTCACTCCACATTCCTACATGTTCTTCTTCTACGGTGTATTTTGATGCACATTTCCAATCTAAGGGAGGGATTATTTGTCCTCCAACATCAGGGCCATGGGCTCCTTTCCTCACGCCTCTTCATTTGGTTGTTTGTAACTTTGAGTTGAATATTAAATCTGCTGCCTCCTCTATCACCCTTTAAGTTTTCTTCTTTTTTTTCCCTTCCCTCGCCATTCTTCGCGCTCTTCTTTTTCTAAGCGGGCCTACTAAGCAGTTACATTTGCAGAGCTGTTCTCTCCCAGTTCAGTGCAGTGTCACTGGTGAAGGAGAACTCGTGTCAAGCTGGTGGGGTTATGGCGGGGGGAAGAAGGATATTTTCACAAAGACAGTAGAAGAGAAGAAGAAGGGGAGATAGGGAGAGGGGGACAAATCCATTGGAGTCTGTTTCATTAAAGTTACAAGACCCTGGAGGATCAGAGCAGGAAGAGGGGATATCTACTGTGTGTCTAGTTTACTGCTGCTGTTTCTTACCGACTCTCCTCCGACACCCACAGTGGTTCTCCGCAGCCCACCATGCATTCCTGACCCACATTCCTCTGTATATTACTGCTCTCATGTGTTCATAAATCTGTGTTCATTGAATATTCACTGTAAACACTACAGCTGGCTTTGAACTGAGCAGATGTGTATGTTGCTGCCATGTTTAGCTGGCTGAAATACGATGCTCTGGAGAGGCAGAGGGGGGATACAGTCGCTCCAGGGAAAGTTGTGTAACACTGTCATTACTTGGCTACCTGGGCTCATGGGAAATTGGATGTGGTGCTTTTTTTAGAGATAGGATGATGATGATGAAATACAATCTCCTTGCTGTAAGCAGGTCTCGTTAAACAGTAATGGACATTTAATCTGTACTTACAGTATAGGAAGCTTGAGTTACAGTGAGTGTGCATTTCTGTTTCGGTAAGAGTTCACAGTTGTTCAAAAGGTATTTCCTGTGTTAGCCTTCATACCATGGGAAAGGTGATGTTTTAGTAAGTAGACATAGTGTAAAGATGCATTTGTGAGTAGACTGTGTCTGTATTGATCAAGCAAGAGCAGGTGATTACTCCTAACTGGCCTTATTTTCTCAGGGTGAAGCATTTGTGTTCCACTAATAGGAGCAGACCATGTACATGCAGAAAACTATAACACTCACTGCAGAAGAGTCCTAACCTGTTAGAGACGATGGTATTCATTCAGAGAGTGGGAGGAGGGTGTTTTGGGACGCACAGGTTACTCACAAGAATATTGAAGACTTTTTAAAAGATGTCAAGGACCATGCTGCCTCAGCAGAAATGGATTCCCTCACAATGTTACGCTTTATTGTGAGGAGGAAAATGCAGCTGCACAACAGAGATTATTCTGTCAGAGCCAAACACTTTGGAAGTAATAAATCTAACTTTCATGGCCCTTATGAGCCTCCATAATGCACATGACTCCTCAGTGAGATTAGGTGTAACTTAATTAAAATGGGTGAAATACTTTTATAGGGTCTCGTATCATTTGTATTTGGGCTATTTCAAAAAATAATGTAGCTATTATATTTGATGATATGGGTTAAATTTTTCAATGCAAGACTGTATGACACAACCTTTTTCACTCGTTATGTAAAAAAACAACCGTTAACAAGGGGTGTAACTGAAAGGCTTATTAAACAGAGTACGACTTGTTTCCATGGGGAAGTTTTACAGATGAGTCACACGTGTGTTAAGTCCTGGCTTGACCTTCAGTGCAATTCCAAGGAGACATTCTGAAATGCTTGATAAATACGATCCCTCTTCTCTAGAATGAGTTTAAGAGAGGGTGAAATACAATGAGAGCTGTTGTCACTTGCACTTGGTGAAAAGCCTTCTTCTCAGCAGGTGAGAATGTTTGCAGCGTATTATTCCTCTGACCCAGATGCCATGCCTGCTCTATTTAAATGCTGCACTTAATGTATTTACTGCTTTGTGTGTTACAATCTTTCGAGGTCCCTCTAGGTTTCAGCTGGCAGATGGCCTGAGTAATGGCCTTGTCTGCCAATTTACGGCCGCTAATTTGTATACACTCGTGATATGCTTGGTTAGAGAAACATTTTAAGCAGCTAGAAAGGTAAACAGCGCCTTAAGTATCACCCTGTGGTTACACGCTCCTGATTCACAGTTTGACTGACTGCTTGTTGTCCTCCTCCACCCCTCACACAGACAAAGAGAAGAGAGTGAAGTCGGGTTCGGACGGAGAAGCAGCCAGCAGCTCGCAGTCGGACAGCTCGGCCAGCCTGGGCAGCCTGAAGGGAGGAGGTGAGTCATGTCACCCATCATCACGTCTTTCTCTCTCCCCCTCCCTCGCCCTTTCTGTCAGGAATCGTAGCCTCGGGGGGGGGAGGGAAGAGTAATCAGCCACTTGTCAAAGGTTTGCTTCTATTGAGGATGCAGGTCAGCTGACAACAATCTGCGTTATTCTTTCACGCTAGCTTCATTGCAATAAACAGCAAATGACATTTTCAGCGGTCTATTTATGTAATGATAATGGCGATGATGGTGGTTTTAATTAGGAAAATTGAAAGCCGTGTTGTGGATCCATTAAAAACAAATCCTGGTTCACCAATCCCCGTGACATTTACAACAATAGAGAACTGTTCACGGAAAAACAACCATATTCTTTCTCCTTTTAGAAGCACAATTACAGCCCTGTTTGCATGGAAAGCATGAAAGAGGCCATTGTTTGATTAGATGAATTGAGATTTCCAGGATTTTAGACGTGGCTCAGGCTTTCTAAACAAGCTGTTGGCGCCCAGTTAGCCAGGCAACCTTAAGGCATTATTAGTTCCATGTATTGCCCTCGCTCCAGGAGTCAATAAGATGAGGAGCATCTTGATGCCAGTGGCACAATGGCTGTTCACTTATTTCTCATTTCTCTTTGTTTTCCTGTTTTGTTTGTGCCTTTTTCCCTTTCACACATGAGCGGTTACTGTACAGTTTCTTTTTCAAGCAGAAAAGCCTTAAAAAACCTCTAAAAACATCAGCTTTGTGCTGAGCTCCTCCCCCCGCCCCGCCAGGTGGCCTCCAGCCAGAGAGTGATCTCTCATCATAAATCTGATCTGACACTTTATTTGGGGCTGTGGCCCACACGGGTTGTAAGGATGATCCCCTGGTGAGAAGTCGTAAAGTGGGACTTAGAAAACGATTCTGGCGACAGAGAAGCTCGGTGTGCGTTATTGGAGAAACGTTATCCCACTGACCGTACGGTGGGCCGTTTGGCTGCCAGCAGATTGTATTTCTGTACAGCAAATTGGCGTAATTGTACAGCAGAGTTATACACGGTAGAAGCTGCTGAGTGCCTTTCAAAACAGGCTGAGCATTGCCATCCTTTCCTGAAGCAAAGATTGGGGACAGCCGAGCTTTAGAGCTATCAGAAAGCTGCTCCTATGCACCATTTATTCACTTTGGCCGATCGAAAGGCATGCCACTGAGTCAGAGAGACTCTCAGGGTCAGTTGTGTTGTCAGAGGTGAGTCAGATGTATTCATGAGACATAATACCCTCTGCTCTCTCCTGGCGCCAGGCCTCTCACAGAGGCTACAAGCAAGGGAAACCACTTCTTCCGGTGTCGCCCTGATTGGTCGGGGGTTTAGCCTGATCATCCCATCTGTTATCTTCTCTTTAAAGGCTTACATGTAGGCATGCAACTAAAACGTATATAATACATCTATAAACAATTTGCAGACAAAGAGTTTATTCATAGTATTTTTCTTTGTCTTAAAAGCTTCGTTACTTTTTTATTATGCATTTGGCCTTCAATGATCATGATCACCAGTGGGAGAATATCTGATCAGTTGCATGAGCATGAAGGACCGTGCCGACACAAGCACCTTTATGAAAGATTCAGAGCAGTGCAGAGCTTTTTCTCTTGGCAGCAGCATACATTCTCTGTAGGAACAAAGAAAGACAAATGCATTATGGACGATTCAGCCTGCTTTCTATCGATTAATCATTCACTATATAAAACGTCAACAATTTCAAAAAATGCTTTTGACAATCCCCCAGAAACCATAGTTATACCTTCACATAGATTTTTTTTGTCCGAATAACAGTCTCAAATCAACAGATGTATAATTTACTTTATTTAGAGGCCCTATTCTGCTTTTGGAATGGCTCTCTTTCCTGTAGAGTGTTATATAGGTTGTTGTGCTTGTTAATGCAAAAAAGATCTCGGAAACATAATCCATATTTTAAAATGATTGCCAATTCATTATTTTGCGTTACACTAAGCGACCACTGCTTGTAGCTGTAGTTAAACATGCTAGCAAGTTGCTCTCTGAGGGGTATTACCATCATATGAGTCTTAACCCCCCCCTCTCTTTCTGCATGAGTGACAGCTCTAGTCCCACCATATTGCCTTCTTCATAACAGCACAATACTCCAAATGCCTTAGAGCTCAGTGTTGACAGAGCGGACAAGTCCAAGGGAATTGCTGTGGTGCTACAGTACAAATCATTGAGCTTTTACTGTTCACTCGATGGACAACATTAGCCTTAAGGCTAGACAGAAATTAGTGTTGACACATATTAATCATCGGGCAAGGCCATTACAAGTCAATCTGATTACAGATCAGTGGTGTCACCTTTTTAAGGCGTGCAAGTCAGGAGGTTTCTCCATACTCACTCATCACAAATGACACCCCACAGATGGCTGCATCGCTGAGGTGCATTAGTGGCTGAAGAAGAGAAGATGCATAGACTTTACGCATGCGTGCTGCTGTAGTCTGTTGCATGAGTATGAATATTATAATCGCAGGATCTCATCAAAAAGTCATTTAACTTCATTATTAAACAATTGTCTGTAGGCTCGGAATCTAATGATGAATGTGAAAGGTTGCTTCACTTACTTTATATGTTTAATTACTTTTATTATGCCGCTACCTATTTTGTTTTACCTTGAATTTAAACATATTCAATATTTTCTTTATTAATGTGTACTTTTAATGTGTTCTTCATTTAGTGTTAGTCTACTCTACTCATTTTGCTTTTAAGCTGCACTGTCCCCTGTAACCATGTACATTTATCTACTGTGGGACGAATAAAGGATACTGATTCTTATTTGCATGTCATTTAGATGTATTTACTTTGTTTTGCTTTGCCTTCCAGAGGTGGCCACAGGAACACTTCTGGACTTGGCAGAGGGAGCCAACATGGTGCTGGTCCACTCAGGAACAAAGCAGACTGAATCGGATCCCTTTACGGTGCATAATCATCCCACAGAGAACAACAATACTGTATGGGTAAGAGTCGGGCTGGTCAATACGTTTCAGCTGTTCAGGCTCGATAAGATGGGGACGAGAAGAGATACACGCAGTAAACACTGATTAATGAAGTGCCTGGTACCTGTTGTGTCCAAAGGAGTGGACCCTACAGTTACACAGCTGCTGCACAGTCACACAATAGTCTATTGAACAGAGCTGGCCTTATCAAATGGTCACATAGCTACAGAGGTGGTGGGCTGCAAGTAACTGAGATAAACCCCCTGAGACCGTGTGAGGCAAGAGGAGACTGCTCTTGTGCAACACGTTCTCACTCCTTTAGCATCATTCATCAGCTTTTAGTCGGATAGGCTTAAACATGTGCTTAACATTATATTACTACTTGATGAGGTTTTAATAGATCAATCAAAGTTTGTTTATATAGCCCAATATCACACATTTTACATTATCACCGGGGGTTTTACAGTCTGTACAGAATACGACACCCTCTGTCGTTTGACCCTCACATCGGAAATGGATAAACTCCCCACAGCTCATTGTAGAAGTATAAGAAAAAGATGAAGATGGGTCCAGATGGATGTCAACAATCCTCCGGTGGCTGTGGACAGAACCACAGCCACGACTCATGATCCAGGCTCAGAAAAAATCTGGGTTTGGGTTAAGTGATGTTAGTAATTATATCAGTAAGTAACTGAGATAAGTACTTGATATACGTGTACATAAAGTAAGTTAAATAACTCAACCCGTAAGAAGGTTGACATTTCAAATCCTCAAACAGACAAAGTCCAGAGGGTAGACTGGTACTTTTAAAGGTAGGGTATGTAAGAATGGAGAAACCAGCTCGAGTGCGCTAGAATTTGAAAGTACACAACCAGAAGAAAAAATCTGCCCCTTCTTTCAGGCTTCCTTACAGAGCCCCTCCTCCAACACACACGAACGCGCACATGACCAATGGGGGCACGAGATAAGTTTGTGCACGAGATGGAAGGCTGTCAGGCAGGTAGGCCATCCAGTTATTTTAGCCAGGCCGGCTCAGATGATTGGTCGTGCTTTTTACTGCGCCAGGGGGTGTCCGGTGCCTTGCTCAAGGGCACCACGGCAGGGCAGGAGGTGAACTGGGACCTCTCCAAGTAGCAGTCCACACTCCATATTTCAGGTCTGGTCGGGGACTTGAACCGGCGACCCTACAGCTCCCAGTCCAAGCCCGTACTGACTGAGCCACTGCCGGACAGACTTATCATCTCTTGAGACTTCAATGTTATCACTAACCAACATGTGTGTGTGTTCTGTGTTTCAGGAGTTGGAGGACGGTCTGGACGAGGCTTTCTCAAGGTGAGAACACGTGAGATTTGGCTTTTCCCTAAAGGCTGCAGCCACACAGGCTGCTGTTCTGGAAATAGCTACTTGCGGTCTTGGGCTGCTCTCACAATAAACCCAGCCTCTCCCTCAGCTGGGTTCACCTCGGTACGCTCCCACGGGCGGGACTAAGGCTCGGTTTACAGGCCCTGACACAGCCGTCCCTCCCCCTGAGTCATGCTGCTTCTGTATGCTCCGTTTACCATCGGCTCAGGCCCACACACTGATTTTATATGAGCTCAGAAAGACGGTGATTACAAATGAGTGCTGCTGAGAGTACTTGGTATATATATTACAAAGGAAAGACACTTTTTCTGTGAATAAATTCAGAAAAGTCAGGAGAAAGTCTCAGAATTTGCAGGTTCAATGTTGACAGGAAAGTATGCGTTGATTTGGAATTCCTTAAATTCTGTCTATGCCTTCAACAAACTAATCTGTATAGAGTCTAATGGGATTTATGCTGCAATTGAGTCTAAATCATTACAACACTCAGATAAACTGCGGTGGTCTCCTGTCACGTCGCACCGTGCTTTTAAAGCCATTTATTTCCAACAGCCAGAAAAGGACTCTTCCGACAGTTTATTGGTGCATTTATTTCCTCTGGCCCTGCCTTTTATTCCCTCTGCTAATTGGAAAGTGGGCTTATAATTCTATCACTTTCATTTAGTGAGAGGGAAAATGGGTTCCACAGCATCTGTAGTCAAGCACTAAGAGGCCATTTTAGCCCCGTTATCAGATGATTATTTGTCTGCACACTGTAATTACACACTAACGCCATTAATCTCCCACTATGTGATTAATGACTATGCTCCCAACGTAAGCACACACGCATCCACGTGTAGATTTTTTTCTAATGGACATGAGTTCGGGACGCCCGAGGGTCCGGTTTGAAGTCTTTGTCCATCAGGAGAAGCTGATATACTGGGTGAAGTCGGGGTCAGAGCGAAAGTTATTAAATATTAAGAGAAGACTTATGATTCTGTGCATGAGAATAGTAAATGATGGTAGCTGTTAGGTTCTGTGTGGTGCAAACAGTTTTGCGTGAGGACTGAAATTAGCTTTGGATTAATGGACAGTTGTGCCCTGCCTCAATAAAGCTCTGCCACAATATTATTTCAGATACAAATTACAGAGATGTGTGTAAATGTTATTAAGCTTTAGAGAAACAGGCATTATTTACAACTATAAGTGACAAATGATGCACTCACATTTCCCCCCCTCCCAATAAAAATAGAGATAACTGCAGACCAAAGTTTTAATTCTGAGGTTAAACATGGCTATTCCTAACTTTAATTCCTGTGAGGTACATTGAATTTCCTTAAATAAGACGTTTTATTGTACTTTTTGCTACGAGATTAAGATATATCCATGTGTTGAGATTTATTTTATTGCTATTTGAAAGAGAGCACTGCCATCTGCTGGCCGTGGGGTGTTTGTCACCATGTAATGTTAGAGCTTTTAAAGGGCTTTATTATACACATTTTCTGGTTCGTATTTGTATTGTGTGCCTCTACTGTGAGATGTTTACTTACTTTAATGTTCAAAAAGCTCTTTGTTTTTCTCATCCTGCCTGTGCTGGAGCCCCTTTGTTCACCCTCTGTCTGAAACCAGAGCCCAGTGTGCTCTGATTGGTTAGCTGTTGTGATTGTTCAACCACTTAGAGATGTCAAAACCTTCACGTACAAAGTTATAGAAGCGCGAGGGTTACATACTGATGTCCCTATGTTACGGAAGTAAACAAAGTAGTCCAATGGAGGCGTTTCCCTCTGGAGGGAACTTTGGAATTTTAGCCTTTGCAGACCATTGACATGCACAATAACCTATAACAATCTACACGAATGGGAAAACCCCAAAGGCATAATAGGGCCCCTTCAAGGCTTTGAAGTGCCTGTTGATCTTAGTGAGGAAAAGCCAGTTTGATGTGCATGTGTTTTCTGTGTGGCAAACGTTGAGGAAGATGGGCCTTACATACATAAGATTTGTCTTTCTGTTGAAGCACAAGAATATAGACATTAGGTCGCACTGTGGTCTAAATGTATCCACTCGCTTTACTACAAGGCCGTTCAGAAGAGTTGAATTGTTGCCTGACTTGTGATGTTTCCTTTGCACCCCCAGCCGCAGTTTGGATAGCTTTGAATCCTACTCAGGTAACGATGTCATTCACTGGACATAGTAACTTCCACCTCCATTGTCCCCACAGTCAACCCACTATTCAAACCGCTCATGTGTCTGGATGTCAGTGTTCATCCAGGTTGATTAAGACTCATTTAATTTCACACTTTCTTTTCAGGCTGTATCCCATTAACAAGGGTTGTTTAACTTTATTAGAGACACATTGCGGAGGGAACTCTTCCTCATTGTCACTCCACAGTTTGATCCATCACCTAGCTTCACTGCCACAGAACCTGAGTGTGTGTCCACATCTTCATCACAAGTGTTTTATGTGTCTCCGCCT